GACGGTTACGGCAGTTACAGCTGTGCCCAGCCTTGGCCCAGATGTCTCTTTACACAACCCTATGCATCCCACCTCCACCCCCGCACTCCGCACAGGGAAACGTCCCTGGCTGAGCTTTTCCTTCGGTACATGAGGTACCCAGGGTCCGGCACTTGCCACTGACAGCAGCAATAATGGAAAAGCCACAGATTGTGGCACTGGAAAGGCAAAGCACTTGGTACCAGGCCACTTCATATGGAGCCACCACGGGAGGATGAGAAGTTCTCCAAGGCTCTGAGTTAGGACCCAAACACCTATCTGACCCTCCCTCCTTTCCTCCTTCCCTTCCTTCCATCTACTACCACCCATCAACCTGCTCACCCATTCATTTCACCCATCATTCATTCACTTAGCCATCATCCATCCATTCTTCCATGTACCACTCCACCCACCCATCCACCCACCCATCCATCCATCCATCCGTCAATCTACCCATCCATCTACCCACTCATCCATCCATCCATCCACCTGCCCATCCACCCATCCACCCATCCATCCATCAATCTACCCATCCATCTATCCACCCATCCACCCACTCATCCATCCATCCATCCACCTGCCCATCCACCCATCCACCCATCCATCCATCAATCTACCCATCCATCTACCCACTCATCCATCCATCCATCCATCCACCCATCCACCCACCTAACCATCCACCCATCCATCTGTTATTACTCCCTGACTACCTTCCACTGGCCAGGCCTTGTACCCATTGCCGGGACATAACATTAAATGGGGAGGGGGCAGCACTCCAGGTAGCAGAAACACCTGGGCCTGGATAGACCTGGAGCTGCTTGCTGGGCTGGCACACAGCAGTGCCCAGTAAGTATTTCTCAAATAAGTAACTGAATGAGATAGTCCTGGCACTGATGTGGTGTCAGCCAAATGGTCTTCAGATCAGAAAGGTGGTCAATGTGGCTGAAGCATGGTGGGGGGACAGGGCAGAGGGCCCATGATTCAGAGGGCTGAGTTCAACCAGAAGGGGTTTGCTGGTGTCCATGGAAAGTGCATTCCTAGGTGGAGGAAGGGTGTCAGCCAAGGCGCAGAGGGGCACAGAGGGACAGAGGGACTCAAGGGACTGGACTGCGAGGCCAGAGCTGGTCAGGGCAGGCCCGTGGAGGGGATGGTGCTTCTCCAGTGGGATTGGATGGGGGAGTTCTGCAAGTCACAGGGTCTCAGAAGAATGCCAGATGTTACACTAAAAATAACCAAATATGTAATTTTGTGCTAAATCAGATAGCATCTTCAGCTGGGTTCCCGGGCAGCAGGCAAGTTGTATCAAGTACCAAAGGTTTAAAAACATGTACGAGGGGCCGGAGGGAGGCTGAAATGAAGAACATTCCATACACACAGGTCCTGGCCCCTGGGATTTGGGACAAGGCCACCATTGTGAGGCTGTCAGGGCGGCGACTCCGCCCCCCACCTGCAGGAGGGTCAGCAGTGGGGCCAGGGCAGGACAGGCAGGGTCCAGAGAGGGCCGCTCCCTGGCGGGCAAACGTGGAAGCTGGGAGGGAGGCTGGTTACGGGTGTGGGCACGTGGGGGCAGGAAATGAACTTCTAGTGTGTGCGGGGAGGGAGAGAATGTGGCTGTTGGGGAGATGTTCCAGTGGGGCGAAGCTCCCTGGGGAGCCGGGTGGAAGAAGCAGGGACCCTCTGCCTGGAGCAAGGTGCTTGGAGAGTGTGGGAAACTAGCAACAGCCACTGAAGAACCAAACACCACTTAGTGTTTCTCAAAGTGTGCTCTGTGGGACACCAGCTCAGTAACGTCTCCAGTAAAAAGGGTTCCATGTCAGGTGAGTTTGAGAAATATTTCACTGAACACCATCGAATAGCTTTCCCCAGCGTGTGGCCGGGGACTCTATGGGCCTGGCCACAGCGGTGCCCAGGTTTATTTACCCGGAGCTGTGTGGGATTAGGCCAGATGCCAGCGGAGACTGCTGGAGGCACAGGCGTGGTTGGGATTGTCCAGGAAGATAAGGGTTTTAACTCCTGCAGGTTCAGCGGAGGAAGGACAGTGTGGAAGGGGCGGGCCCCAGGGAGGACATCCCTTCCTTTCTCACGTTCACGGTCACCTGCCAAGGATGCTTCCGAGAATCAGAAAAGGAAAACCAGGCAGCTACACAGAGTTCACCGTGGACTCGTCTGAAAACCTGGAGGGCAGTGGCGCCTCCCCAGACACCCGCCACTCGCCCTGCAGCCGGTGCCCCTGGGGAAGGCCCTGCTGTGGCCCACCCGCCCCCGGGCCCCTCTAGACCCTGCAGAGCCACCTTCCACTGCCGCCCGAGCCAACTTACCTTCCTGTCATTGAACTCCACGTTTTCACCTTCATAGTCCCCCTGTTCAAACAGAGAAAAGGAAAATCCTTATTACCTGATGGAGCTTGTGAGCTGCTCAGATGTGCGATGTTTCCAAACATAGACTGCGTCGCCCTTCATTGACATGAATTGAGATAATCCTGGGACAAAGTTTCACACAGAGCATGAAGGTCAGCAGGTGTCTCTGCCCTTCTGATGGAAAGTGCCGTGCGGGTCCTTGTGGGCTGCCCCGCCAGCCTCCCCCACCGGGACTGCCCGAGCCACCCTCCCCTCGGCAGAGGGGACTCCAGGACAGGACCCACGGTCATGTCCTCGGAATTGGAAACGCAAACGTGAGGGGGCTTTTGGGGGGCGGGAAGAATCGCATCTGTAGGGCGAACATACGTCCACTCCACCGGGACAGTCCCAGTGTCGGACCCCCATTCCCAAGAGGGACAACGAATTACAGGGTCACTGCACGCTGAGCTCAGCGGGCCCAGCACGCCCACTTTACAGGTGGAAACACTGCAGCTCAAAGAAGCGAACCGACGTTCCTGAGCTAGTGTGGGACTCGATCCGGACCTCTAAATCCAAAGGAAGGGGAGAAGGGCCCAGAAGTTGAAAGTGAGCCCAAAACGTGAGCGGTTGATACAAATAACTAAACGGGAGCAGCAGGAGACAGGCTGTGCCGCGGCCCGGGGCGTGGCTGAGACTCGCCGCGCAAAGCTCTGGGCCTCCTCGAGGTCTGCCCTGTGTCCGCTCCGCTCACCGGCAACTTCTTGAGCCCTCACTGAGCCCTGCCTCCCCCGTGACCACGCACCCGAGCAAGCAACATAACCAACGTCCTCGACGTTGCCAGGGGACCCTCACCCTCCCAAGCTGACCCCTTTTAGCATTTCCCAGTGTTTCTTTCCACACGTTTCTAGCAGCGCCTGGTTGGTACCGAGGTCTGCTCGCTGGCCACCTCGGGTGGGTAGACGTCAACCAGGCAGGAAGCCAAAAAGCCGCCCGGCAAGCAACGTAAATGCCAAAGTCCTTTCTGTGCAGACACCACACTCTAATTACAGGAGGCTTCTAAGGGTCTCACTTGGAGCATTCAGCTCCCGTCCGGGCATGGTCCCGTCAGGCAGCTATCTGGCAACGGCACCCAGCACCTTGCATGGCAGATGTTCTCCCGTCCAAGTACTAACCGGGCCCGACCCCGCTTAGCTTCCGAGATTGGGTGAGTTCAGGGCGGTATGGCTGTAGACCTGGCGGATGTTCTCGATGGACGAATGAATGCAGGAGGCACGGGATGGGGGGTGCTATGGGCTGTGCATTGAAGGTAACCGCGGTGACGCAGGACAACGGACATGGTGAGGACAACGGACGTAAAGAAATGCAAAGCACTACACAGCACACGGCCGCGGCCTCGCAGTGCCTCCCCAGGCGAAGCCGAGTCTCCTTCAGCCAGTGTGCTGGTTAAGGGTACACGGGACTCGGTTCAGAATGAGTGGCCCCCACACCCCGGGTATTTAAACATCAACTTTGGTGCTTAACGGGGTGGGTGCCCTTCAGTTGCATGGAAAATTTGTGGATGCAAAATTCTGTATTCCCTAAAGTACACCTTAAAGTACACAGGCCAGGTTCAGGGCTCCATGCCTCCTTGGCTGCGTGCTCCTGGGCAAGCTGCATGAGCTCCTCAAGCCTCAGTCTCTCCATCTGGAAAATGGGAGCAGATCCCGCCCGCGTTGCAGGCTTCCCCAGAGCTGCGTAAGGCACCATGGTGATCACAAACGGGGCTTTTCCTGCGTGGGCCTTGGTGACGTTTTTGCAAGACTGGCTGCCTGACGGTAGGCCAGCGGATCGGGGAGTCTCGCACCAGTCCGTTTAAAGAGCTGACAGAATCAAGTCCTAAGACAAACGCGGTTGTGAAGACCAAGAAGAGGGATGCACTTGGCCTCGGGAAAGGAAGAGGCGGTGATACAGCCAGGGCACAGAGCAGCAGAGTGGCCACCAGGGATGGCTCTTGGCTCCAGCTCCGACCTCAGGCAAGTTACTAAACCTCTCTGAGTCTCCAAGTCTGTGCCGAGGTAAGGCTCCTACTGAACACAGTGCTCTGCACACAGCAGGGGCTCAGGCCTGCTGATCCCTCCCCTTTCCCTTCTGAGACTTAAAGGGCCCACTTCAAACAGGCGGGAGGCCCTGAAACATTTTGGCTTCTATGGTCCAAGTCTCAAGAGCAGAGCTGTGGCCCCAGGCTGCCTCCTCTGAGGTTGCAGGGCTGCTTTCCCGGCGGAGCGGGGCTGAATGATGAAACCACCGGAGGTACTAGAGGAAAGTCTGACAGGACGGACAAGTGAGGCTGGGAGTGATGGCCAGGACCCGCAGGGTTGGAGCCCTGCCGTGCAAACATCCACCAACAACAAGCCACTGGCTGAAGCAACCCAACTCAATCCAAGCCAAATCTCCACCACGTTTACTGAGCACCTACTAAGTGTGGAGTGCCAGGGCTTCTGGGAAACGACACACACAACAAAAGGCAGCCAGACAGCAGTGTCTTTGTAGGACAGAGCATCAGAAGCTCAGGGAAGGGAGGAAGAAATCAGCTGTGTGGGGATGAAGGAAACAGGAAGGCCGGGTGTGGGTGCTTTTGTCTGCCTATGGGGAGGGGCAGGGAGGGACATGCCGGGAGCAGGAGGAACAGCACCGGCAGAGGCACAGAGGGAGGAAGCAGGGTCGGTGGGTCCCAAGTCCCTGGCCCTACAGGCAGGAGGAGGCCCTGCAGGGGGAGGAGATGGCAGCTGAGCAGCCGGGCATCTTTCCTCTAGGGTCATGGTCTGGGGGAGCCTCCCCCGGACCATCATCTGGCTGCACCGCCCTGCGCTACCCAGGTACCCTGGATTCATCTAATCTGGTGTCTCCTCCTCAAAGCCCTTTCCTATCTGCATTCCCTCTGACACCCCTGCTAGCCTGGCAATTGGACGGGGCAAGTGATTACTCCTGACCCACAGATGGGGACACTGAGGCTTGGCGAGAAGGTGCTGACTCTGCCCAAGGCCAACAAGAGAGAGTGGCTGGGCCTGGAATCTGGGCCTCCAGACTCCCAGGCCCGTCCCCGCGTCTCTCCTGCTTCTTGGCTCCCAGTCCTAGCAGTAATGCACATTTGGAAAGTTCCAGAGATCCTCTGCCTGGGGTTCCCACACTGCTCAGGCCCCACGGCCCACGCTTGGTGCCCTGTTGAACTTGAGTCTCTGTTTCCATAGAGACAATCAGGAGACAGTCCTCTCTCTCCTCCACCCCGAGCCAGCGCACAGCCGCGGCCGTGGGCTATATTTGTCAGGCGGATACCAGTGGGATTTAGAGAGCCGGCTCAGGAAGCTGGCCACTCGCTCTGCAGAAATAGACACACGCAGAGCCCTGGTCGCCCTGCCAGGGCTGGGGGTGGGTGGGGGAGTCTGGCCAGGGAAAACGCCGTGTGGACCAGCTGGCTGCGAGGTTCAGATGCAGCCAGGGCAGGGTGCCTGCCACGATGCCCCTGTCCTGCTGAGATTGTTCTGCAAGAAAAGATGGCCCTGTGTGTAAGCTCTCCGTCCCCACGAGGGGAACAAGGAAGGCCTGTGTATGGTTGACATTTACAGTGACAGCCAAGCAGGAAGCCGCGACCACAGGATAATTAGAGCTCCCTGGGATCTGGGGAACCGAGTGACACGGAGATAAACCGTGTGTCAAGGTTACTTACGTCGTGCAGCGGGTATGCAGCAGAGTACACGCCATTGGCCAGCAGGCTCGTGATGCCTTAAAAACAGAGGCCGAGAAAGAGTTACGGACCAGGGGGGCCTCCTGTCCCACACCGTGAAGTCAGCGCGGTCTCAGGGCTGTCTCAGCCGCCAAGAGCTTCTCAAAGCCAAACGAACCCGGCTCCACGGAGCCCGGCCACCTTTCTGGGGCTACCTCCCCAGGCATGACGCGGCTGGGTTATTTATCTATGGACTAGGAGATGGTAAACACATGCTCGATTGGCAGAATTAGGAAGATACAGAGGAAACCCCAAGAGGAAGTTTCGTCTCGGAGGAGGGAGGTGCGAGTGGCCCGTGACGTCACGCTGTCGTCACCCCCAAACCTCCGACTCGCCAGCTACCCCCACCTACTCGAGGGCAAGCCTGCAGACCGGAAAGGTGGATTTTAAGTGGTTAGAAAAGCTGAATCATGAGAAAACATATGGATGGAAAAATTGATGGTGTCAGAGAACACACATACAATTTGGAATTAGATTTTAGGTTGATTGGGAGAGCCCAGGGAGGCCCACACTTACCGTACTGCCCACATTTCCGCCTTTTACTTAGAAGGGCGGAGTCCTTCTTTCTTCCCTCGCCTTGCCCTGTTTGTACATCGGCTATTAGTTACATGGAAGGGCCTGGAAGGATCAAAGCTACATCGGGGGAGCAAGCGCTGGTGGCCAGCGAGGGGCTCACAGCTGTCCAGTGCTCCTGGGGGCGGCGGGATGACGGGGCCCCTTTCCTGCTGGCCCCGGGGCCGGCACCGGGCACGCGATAAAAACGCCACACCTGCAGCTCTTCGTGAGCGCGAATGCGGGTGCCCAGCCCCGGGCGGCTGGAAGAGAGGAAGGGAGGGCCAGGGCCGTGTCTGGTGAAGGGGGTTCCTGGGGATCTGATCTTGCTCCAAACACATCCAGGGGGCCCAGCGCTGCTGAGGAATTTCCACGAAACCCTCTGCTGCTCATCGAACCCCCTGCCTGGCTGAAGAGCCTTTCCAGGTGGTCAGAGGGACAGGTTTTTCAGTGGCCTGAGTGGCCCACCTTCTGAGATTCCACTTGATACTGGTGGGAAAATGACCCCCTGAAGCCTCCTTAAAAACGGACCATCTCCTTGGTCAGTGATCTGGAGTGGTCAGGGGACCCGAGGGACACTTAGAAATGAAAACCAGAGGAAGTGGGAGAACGTGGCTGGCTGAAAGCCACACACAAAGGAAAGTGTCACCTGCAATACAAAATGGACCTGGGGCTGATCCAGGCTTGTTGGCCCCCTGACTGTGCCTAGAACACTCCCAGAATGGTGCTGCCACAGGGCCTTTGCACCGGCGTCTCCCTCCACCTGGGAGGCTCCCCTCACTTTCTTCAAGCCTCTGCACCAGTGTCATCTTGTCAGAAAGGCCTTCCCTAATCACGGTTCCTGAATCCCCCGGCCTGCCCCAGCCACCCTCCTCCTGCCAGACTGGTTTCTGATTTATCTGTTTATTTATTATTTATTTCCTTCCCCTAGAACATAAACCCCCTGAGGGCAGGGAGCTCCGACACCTGGGACAGAGCCTGGAAGGTGACAGGAATCCACCAATACTTGCTGGAAGTTGGATAAATGAATTTGGAGGTCGGGAGGGCTCTCGTTAAGGCGCCAGCGTGAAGCAGGGCTGGAGAGAAGGGCCCCGTTCTCTCTGCTCTGTCACCAGGTGCAGGGGATAAGCCCTGCAGGAAACTGGATGACCTGCAGCGAGGACTCGGCTCGGGCCAAAGAGCCCCCAGATCCTGGACTCCGCACAGCCTCACGGCAACCACACAGGTCTCCACTGGAAGGGGCGCTACAGGGACCCCGTGGGGAAACTGAGGTTCGACACCCAGCCCTGGGGCTAGAACCACACTTCCTCCCTGCCTCTAGTGACCTCCACAAGGCTTTGCCCTGGTGGCAGTGACCTACGGAAGCACTTTCAAAAACCCAAACTCCCAACGCTACTTGTTTCCTGCCCCGCCCCCATTACAGTCAGACCAGGACATGGCCACTCTCAGGTTCTTGCTCTGCTGGGGGGTGGGCTGGACCGACAGGGATGGTTTCCCTGGGCTCCTCTTGGCCCCTGGCGGGGGCCTCTCCCCCAATACCCCCATTGATTTAGGAGATGCGCTTACAGATTTCAGGCCCAGAAGGGTGTCCCTGTGACCGACCATGGCCGTGCTGGTCAGGGCCCGAGCAGCCTACCTGAGCCCTGGAGCATTTGTTCATCTTTTCTCTGCACCCTGGGCCTGCCCCCAAGAGCAAGGGTGCCGAGCCCCTTGCTCCCTCTGCTCTCCGTGTCACTTCTCCTGGAGACACAGACTCCGGCTCTCACCCACCTAGCTCTGTGCCCCGGGACCACAGCCTGGCCGTCGCAGAGCGCGGTGGAGTGCCACCCTGAGCGCGGCTCTCAGCGGGGCACACGCGGCTCCAGAGGAAGGGGAGAGAGGCTGGGCGAGGCATCCTCTCATGCCGCGATGTTTGGACTTCAGCAAACTCAGCCCGCAGTCGTGGGCGAGGGACCACAGCGGGGCTGACTGCCACCTACACAATTTAATCGGCAAGATTTTGTATCCGTGGCGTAAGGTGTTCTGGGAGATGATCCCCGAGGAGCCCTGTTGGGATGGTTTTGTGGCAACGACTTGAGTCAGGCCGTCCGTACACGGTGGTGCCTGGCCGGGGGACACTGCTTTCAGAGAGCCCCGAGGGGGGCTGCATCGGCCCGGGGTGCCTGCCACTCGAGCGTGGGCTTGTCTGGCTGCCTCCAGCCGGGAACGGCTGCTCCCAGTGGCCTGGAAAGCTGCATGGGCTACGGCCCCCCGAACCCTGGCTACTTCCCGCTGGGCTGTGAGGGCCGAGAGAGGGTCAGGGACCCTTGGGCCTGATGCTGGTCTGTCCCAGCCCGGACGGACCACCCCTGCAGCAGGAGCCCAACTGGGCTGGCACAAACACCTCAGGCCAAAGCGAAGGACGCCTTTGTATTTAGAAGTGCCGGGCCATAAAACTGCCTTGTGCCCTGGAACGGCCCCCCTGTCTGAAATTGTTGCACAGCCTTAAATCAAAACCCTTTTAAAAACCCCAGCTGGCGGCCCACCTCCCACGGAGACGATTCGGAGGCGAGATTCCCACTTAGGAACCAATGCTGATCTCAAGCCCCCAAAATGTCCTTACCCATGCTGTACTTGGCTTTGGTACATGTCGTTCTCTTCAAAATTTCGTAGACCTGTGGCAGAGAGACAGGCAGGAGGGTGAGTCGTTACCTCAGGCACCGCCCACAAGCAGAAAGTGCCCGCGATTGCTGGGAAGGCGCTGGCCAGACACTGACACGACCACCTCCTTGAACTGACCCCCAGGGAGGGCAGCAGACGTCACCGAGGCATGGTCCACTGTGCCCAGGAGTCTCAGCCACGTCACAGGCTCGGGGTTCTTGGGGATGAGTGTAACCTGGAGAGTTCCCATCTTTTGCTCCCCAAGGTGGGAGTGATGGGCGCTGGCCCCGCCAAGCACCGACGAGCCCTCCTGGGCACCGTTCCCTCACAGTGGCCTTACTGTCCCTTTTTGCTGAGAGATGAGATGGAGCAGGGCCCCTCCTGGACACGGCGCCGAGTGTTCTGGAGACCCGGGGAGGGGTGGGGTTCCGTTCCGCACCGGGTCGGGAGGCAGCCTGGCACCAGGCTCTGGTCGCATGGCGCCTGTGGGCGGAGCCATCCTGAAGGGATCCCACACCTGCTCCGTGTTCCCTCGACTGATGAAACATTTTGTTTGGTGGCCTCAGGAATTCTGCTCCGAGGGTCTGTCTGTCTGTGTCTCAGTGTCAGCTCCACCCTTTGTAGCTGTGTGATTTTGGGCAAACTGCATCACCTCCCTGTGCCTCAGTTTCCCCATCTATAAACTGGGATGAGAATAACATAGACATGCACTTCAGAGCACGCTGATTCTGTTCCCACTCTCTTGGGCAAGACCAGAGTCATCCTGACGGCCCACTGGCCTACGCCATCGGGCCCTGCCAGCGTCTGGCCTCGCTGCCTCTGTCTCCACCACCGGCTGTCCCAGCAAGCCCAGCCTCCTGGCGGCGCCTCTCACCTTCCAGACCCCCTCCTACAGCCGCAGAGCCTCGGCCCCGGCTGTTCCTTCAGTGGGAAGCAATTGTCCCCTTCAGATATGCGTAGCTCAGGGTCACCGGAACAAAGAGGCCCATGAAGTGGCCCTGTCACTCTGTCTTCTAACCCCGCCGGCTGCGCACCATCTACCACGTTATAAACGTGCTCAATGCCTCTCCATGCCCGCCGGTCTCGGCACACAGCAGGTGCCCAATAAATAGCTGCTGAATGAAGGCAGGCACCACCCACTCAGTTGCTCTCAATAGCCCGCTTCCTGTCATCCCTCAAATCCAATCAGTCCTGACCTTGCCCTGATCTTGCCGACTGCTGGAACCACCTCCTCCCTCCACAAGGGCAGCGGTGGCCCCATTCGCAGCCACTGCCGTGACCCCGCATCCGCCCTGTACCTGTCCTCCCGCGCATTACTGGCAGTGTTTGCTCCAGAACAGATCTGACCATCCTAGATCTTGCACTACAACCTTCTGTGGCTCCCTAGTACCCACAGGCTGAGGGTCTAAGACCCAAGATCAGCACATTGGGTCCTTCCCCATGGGGTGCTCCTGGTCTCCCACTCCTCCACACTTGCACGCTGTCCACCCCAATGCCAGGAGCAGAGTGGCTGGTGTGGAGGGGAGGTAGGGAGGGGCTGTCACTGCCCCACACCTTTGCCCACAGTGACCTCCCACAGCCCTGGATGCTGCCGGGTTTTGAAGACCATGAGCTCTGACTAACCAAGGGCAAAGCTTATTAAACTGGCCTCCGGGGTCTCTGGGAGAGAGTGTCCCTCCCCCTAGAGGTAAATGGAGTCAAGGACCATTCAGTCGACATTTCCTGGCCCGGCAGGATGCTTTCTGTGACTAGGTGGCAATGCGGCCATCACCCCAGGGATCACGGACTACCCTCGATGTCACAGCAGATCCTGACAACACGGGAATTAGCGCTTCCAAGTCACATATGCCCCCCTCTACCTCAGCCACCTCCCTGGCAGCATGAGTGCATTTCCAAACTTGCACCCTGCCCTTGTTTCTGGAGTATTTTGGCAGCTCCATAGGGTGTGCATAATACCGAAACACGAGCCCTGACTCAGTTTACCCGGCTGGCTATTCCGACTTTCTCCCATGTCATCACGACGTAGAAGAAGTCAGGTCGACGCCGTGGCGGCTCTCCCAAGTGGCTGACGTCCGAGAGCGAGGAGACAGCTCGGATGGACACGCGTAAGTCCTGAGCTGCCCGCTGGGGGGCTGACGTTTTCGCGCCAGCGAGTTCCTGTTATTTATCACCGTGGGATCTAATTGCTGAGGTTAGTCAGTAACACCAGGAATAATAAAACTCGCAGCAGTGACGCGGTGCCCAGCGCCGCCCACTCGTGGCAGGCCGGATGGAGAGGCATGGCTGCCCTCTTAGGAACAAGCCAGAATAGTCTTTGTCTTGACGCAGGCTCAGTGACTCTCCTGAGGTCACAGGGCTGGGGAGGGACGGAGGGCAGACAGGACCTGGATGTGCCTGCCGCGGCAGCAGCTCAAAACCCCCCAAGTCAGTGCGACCTGCACCGCCGTCCCTCGGCTGGCCGCCTGCCCGTCTCGGTTTGGTGGCCGTTAGGGCCAGTTATATGGACAAGATTGGCAGGACTGCCTCGTCCCTGCCCTCCATCTCTGCCCGCCAGGCCGGGCTTTCTGGGCAGGGACAAGAGAACAACAGCCACGGCTTGGCTGCGAGGTTAATTTCTTGTTTAGATAGAAATTGGGTCCCGGGCCACGCACAGCCAGCTTGGCTGGCGGACAAGTTGGCGGCTGATAGATAAACATTAAGCCAGTACCTTGCATAGGGCAGGGCGGCCTGGTCAGATTTCAAGTCTCAGTTTGCTGTCTGGCAAAGGCCTAGAAATATATCCTACCCCACGGCCTTCGCCTCCACCACCGTGTGCACCCCACCCCTGCCTGCCTGCTGAGAAACCCCCGGCCAGGGGCCTGACAGCTGGCCACGCACAGACCATCGGGGGCAAGTGGCGGGGAGGCTCTGAGATGTGCGGGGAGCTGCAAAGACGCAGGACTACGTATCGCTTAAAGGATCCCCCTCCTGCCTCCCGCCGCTCTGCTCTCGTTCCCCTCCTCTGAGCCATGGGGCCCCGGCCACCCCTTGGGTCCCTTGGTGCCCTCTCCCTGTCATCATTCTAATTATTTCAGTCACAGACAATTAGAGCTGCCTTCCCCCCGCAGGAGTTTCACCGAAATGAAATTATCATCCGCTTCCCCAGGGCCACCTTGCCGGAGAGCCCCCACCACGCTCGCGAGATACTTACTATTGTGCTCCGGGTCTTGCTGTCGAAAAAGGAATCCTTATCCGACAGGTCAAATCTGTGGAAGTATTGGGAAGGAAACGAGACACAGTTCAGTAGAGCTGGCAGTTCTCCGGGTTTCAAGGCCCTGGGAAACCACACTGTCCCCATTAGCGGTGACCGTGAAATGGATGTGACTCTGTCCGCACACCAGGTATGGCCTGCCCACCCCTGGGCACTTGGGACAGTGTGTTTCTTTGCCCCTGGCCCCCGGGTGAGGCTCTGAGACCCACACAGGTGGGAAGTGACCCGAGAGGCAAGCGTGGTCACACGGCCCTCCCTGCAGGTCCCTGCTTCCTTTGCATGATATCCTCTGCAGGAGGTTCTAAAAGCCTCTGCTTCAACACCATGGGGGACAGGGACACTGCCATGCCACCATCAGACAGCTCCAATCTTGACAATAACCTCCCCAGAACTCCCGAATGGTTTGGGTCCTGATGTCTTGGGCTGCACGGGGGTTGCCTAAGGCGTCGCGAGGCAGAGGGCTGTCTCCGGAACACACTCGCCACTCCCCAGGGAGCTTAGGCAGGCTGGGAGGGCGGCTGCTGGGGGGTCTCTATCTCCACAGTTGGGGGGGCTGACAGAGCTGGCCCAGGGCAGCGGTGAGGGAGGCCTCCTGGGGTCCTGGAAAGAGGGCAGCTCCCTCTAGTGCCCAGCCCCTGTTCTGGAGCTGGAGGGTTAGGGGCTGCGTCCTGCACTCTGGGTGGCACGTCTAGCCTCACGCCCCCACTAGGACCCGGTAACAGCAGGTGAAACTCGTGCTTCCTCTCGGCCACATCTACAGCACAGAAACCCAGCTCTGAGCTCCGGCACTTCCTTCCATCCCCACCCCCACCCCGTGTGGCAGGGGGTGTCTGGGAGCCCCCCCTGGAGCTCACTATCCAAAGTCCCTCTGGGTTCCCAGCACCCAAGCTTTCTATTCTCATCTCTGCCCACTCTCCAGCTCTGCTCAGCGAGGTCCACAGAGGCCTTGCGGCTGCCACCGCCCCAGGTGGCTACGCCCCACTGCCCCTTAGCAGCAGGGAAGGTTCCAGAACAGGCGTGGCCCTGCCAGGCAACCCTGCTGCTGGCTGTGAATCTCTGCGGCCTCAGGACTCCCGCCTGGGGATGCGTTTGGGTTTCTTGCGTTTCTGTTTCTGCCTTCGGGAATGTGGCTCCCCTGGCCTAAGACTGCGGGGGCGGGGCTGCAGAAGGCTGCTTAACCAGGCCCTCAGGAGGATGGAGCTGGGCAGGAGGGAGGATGCCCAGACCACTGCTTGGAGGGCGCCCCCTCAGGACTACCACGCAGGACAAGATCTGTGCCCCCCTAATTCCCAGTTAACAGTGACCTCAGAAATCACTTCTATGGCCTCTTCCGGGCTCAACAGCTACAAAGCTCTTACAAGAATACACTGTCCTTTGGGGACAGAGACTCAACCTGTGTTTCTCATGCTAGAGGGTTAAATCCCGACAGAGCAGGGCCCTTTGGGGAGCAGGGTGGGGGTTCCCCACTTACAGGTGCTGCTTCTCCCGGGAGAAGGGATAGGAGAGTCTCTTCATGGTCTGGGGCCTGTGCTCCGCCACCCTGGGCTGGATGGGGTCCGTGATCTTCTGGAGCACGGAGTTGATTTTTTTCAGGAGGCCACGGGTCTCATTGATGCGATACATCTGCAGGAAAGACCGGGGTTGGGGGATTCGAATCACGCTGCCGAGCCGTGACCTCGGGGATCTGTTCTCCGACGGTCCGAGAATGGTCCCACCCTGCTGGGATGGCGCATCCCGGGAACAGTGAGCCCAGGGGGGCCAAAACGCCCCCTCCACTCTCGGTTTCTGGATCGACCCTGAAAGCTCAGAGTTTTGGGAGAGCCCAGCCAACAGTGCAATTATAATACATTCCAGGGAATTTTCCCCCAAACTTCACTTTTGTTTCAAAAGAGGTTATCCAAAGGATCTCGGTGGATGTGAGAAGCCTGACTTATTACCGGGCACGGCCTCGTCCCGTCCACACACAAAAGCGAACACCGACGCCTAGCTAAGCTTCAGGGGCGACGCCGTCAAACTGCATCGTAACCGTAAAGTTTCCAGAGATTAAAAAGAAAACTCCCAGCAAGCTAGGAAATGTAATTAAAATGAATCTGATAAATTAGCCGAGATACCACAAGCAGAAAAGCACCAGCGCCTGAAGTCTAATCCTGTTTGTATTTAGGACGAGTTCCCGAGGCTGAGAGGTGGGCTCTTCTGCTTGCAACCCTGTCCTGGTGGGGTTTGATTTGGGGTCTCTACAGACCACCCAGGCTGGGTCAGGTTCTCCACAATCAGGACACTGGAGCCCAGAGGCCTTGTCACATCCCAGCTGCCCTGGAGGGGTGGGACTGAAAGCCACTCGGCTTCTCTGAACAATCGAGAGCCTCGTGGTGGTGACATCTTCCTGCAGTGACCTTCAGACGTGGCGCTATATTTTGGAGTAAAACCACCCACCTTCTTGGTGGGCATCTTCAGCTTCAGAAACTCGGCCTCTCTGCACAGCACGTTCCAGGGGGCGTGGATTTTCACAAACCCAAGGCCGTGGATTTTAGTCTAGAAAGAGAAGAGAAGTTCCCAGTCAGGGTGGGCAGACACTTGGGGAAAATCGCTTCTACCTTCGGATGTGCGACGGTTTATCGCGCCGTCCACAGCGGCTGCGTTTGCCCCTCACTCCACCCTGACAACACCGAGAGGCACGGCCGGAGTCCCCTCCTTGCAGATGGTGGCCTGGGGTGCAGGGGTTACGTGGCCTCCTCTGGGTCATGTGGGGATGTTTAAGATCCAGGAGGGCCTAGAGAGGGTCCCAGGGGGTACCTACTCCAAAACACATGGGAAGTTTTCAGGGGGGTTAGCTGAAGGCCCCCAAAGCAGCCTGGGCCACGAGAGAGAACTTGTCAGGACGCAGAGCCCAGGCCCCTCGGCCCCAACCTGGGGGCGCCAAGGGCCTTCTGGGTTCCTGACCAGGGCAAGGAGGCGGCAGCTGAAGCTGGTCCCCCTCTGGGCATCCTCCCTCAGCAGGGTCAGGGCCACTCCGCTGCCTGCTCCTGGCCTACACCCCAGGTTCCCTGTGTCTGCGTAGCCTTTATCCTAACATGAGTGGGCAGGCCCCGGTTCAAGGCCGGCTGCCCCACTAAATGGCTGTGGTGCTGAATGACAGTACAAAAGAGCCGAGGTCACCGAGTGCTGGCTGGCAAGGAGGTGGCATCAACTAAGGGCTTCGAGAGAATCGAGTCCAACAACCTTCACAAGCCGCTCCATGAGAAAGGCACCACTACTGGCCCCCTTTACAGATGGGAACACTGAGGCTTGGAGAGAGTAAGTTGCCACGGCCCGCAGTCTTACAGCGGTGAGGGGTGCCGGATTCGAACACAGGCAGTGCTGCCCAGATCCCCCTCACGTTCAGGGATGAGATCGGGATGCCCCAATGTCTCTAGCTTTCCCTATTCCCTCTTGGATTTCAAGTTTAAGAGAGTCCTTTTATCAAGCGAATAGCGTCTATGCAGTCACATTTCCCCATCAGACTCACATAACATCAATCGGAACTTCCCATCACCCCGAGACAACTCAGCTGACCGACGTCTTGATGCCATCGCAACACAAAGCAGAGACACGATGCTCCCTGAATCAGAGCCGCCTTATGCAGAGTGGGGTCCTCCGTCCCCCGGGGCTTGGAGGCCAGCCTGGGGCTTCCAGCCTGAGCTCCCATCAAGCTCTCCTTGCCACAATTCTGAGACTTAACGGAACTGACTGGAAGTCTTGGCAAAAAGGAACCAGGCTAACCGGAGGAAGAGGGCCAGCCGGGACTTGGTCCACCAGCTCGGGGCGCAGAACAATCCGGCTCAGAGTCAGGGTCTGACCCCGGTTCTGGGCGGAATTCACGACAGCAGGCTAAGGTGGGACCCATGCGCGTAGGTTCATGGCAGGTTGTTGACAAAAAGCAGTGGAGCCTAAGTCATTTGGGGATGAATTTTAAGAAAATGAAATCTGAAGTGGGTCAAATACACGTATCTGGCAAGAGCCTGGGCAGAAGCCCACGAAAGCAGCGTTCCCGGCCCAGCCAGGCGCTTGGGCAGAGCTTCCAGGTCACCGCCTTCAGGTGACCCACCCCTCGGCCTACCTGAGGAAGGGGCACCCGCCCTCACGCCCAGCTCCACTTCCTGCTTCTTCCTCGCCCTCCTCCTGAAGCCCACCCGTGGTCGCTTACGTGAACGGTGAAGCCCACGGTCACCGCGCCACACGCATCTCTTGAATGAATGAGTGAAGGGCAGTACGCGGTAATACCAATGGTAACATCGACGGAGGCTGACATCCGCGAGTGCCTGTTATGTGCGGGGTCTGCTTTGTGCATTTTATGTGCATTAATTCATTCAAGACTCACAGCAAAACAAGACTGTGAGGTAGGTCCCATCACTGCCCTCATTTCACGGCTGGGGAAACTGAGGCACAGAAGTGCACACGTGCTAGCCAGCTCCCTGCGTTAGTTCCCGGAGCTGCTGTAGCTCACACAGCAGAACCGTGTTCTCTCCCGGTGCTGGGGGCCGGAAATCCAACATCAAAGTTCCAGCGGGGCCACGCTCCCCCCACAGGCCCTAGGGAGGCTCCTTCTTTTTCTCTTCCAGCTCCTGGGCCCCCAGGCGTTCTCCGACTTGTGGCTGCATCACTCCACCCTCTGCCTCTGAGGTCACGTGGCCTCCTCCCTCTGTGTCTCTCTATTGGATTTATGGCCCACCCTAAATCCAGGATGATCTCATCCAGAAATGTTTAACTTAATTCCCTCTGCAAAGACCCTTCTTCCAAACAAGGGCACATTCGAGCGCTGCAGGTTGACATGGGTTTGGGGCCACCCTTCAGCCCACTGCTCTCGTCCTGGTGCTGCAGGGTAGGGTCCTGCGCGGCTGCGTGCAGGGGCCTATCTAAGCGGCTAGGGAAGTGTCATAGGAGCATGGACCCAGCAGCCGGGGCCCGAAGCTGCTTCGAGGGGACAGCAGGATGAGGCAGCTCCAGGATAGGCCAAGACTCAGGGCTGCGCTGGCAGAGGGCACCCCAGTGGGCTTGGGCCCCCTCTGCGAACCATCACATCCCTGCATGGGCTAGAGGAGGCAGCCCCAGCACTCGGGTGCAAGGAGCCCAGATCCTTCTGTGGCCCTTGAGGTGTAGGTCGAATGGGCACTGGGTGAGGCCCTGTGTTCAGAGGACTGGGTTTGGGAGGGCTGGGCTGGAATCCTGCCCTGCCCCTGTGTGGCCTCTGGCAAGTGACTTAACCTCTCTGAGCCCCTGTTTCCTCATCTGCAGACTGGGCAATACAGGAGCCCTGGTGCTGTCAGCAGCTCTGGTCCAGCACCCTGAGACAGAGAGGTCAGTCTTGCTCCGGCCTGGGATCACTCCCCCGACACAGGCCGCTGAGACCAAGCCTGCCTCACGGCACAGAACCCTTTGGCCAAGAAGCTTCAAGCCATCTCCCAAGCCCTGGGGGGCCACAGAGGGTACCGACACCTGAGAGGTGGTGGCCCCCCAGTCCTGGTGACTCACAGGTGCAGGGTGGACACCACGGGGCACCCGAGTCAGGAGAGATAACCGTTGACGGCCCACGTGAGGAAGAGCCTGTCTTTTCCTGTTACAGACCCAGATTTATTTTTGGGCTCTGCTCACCCGCACGCAAAGACCCAAAATATATTCTTCCGAGTCCATGGAGATTTCTGTCACTGGTGGTCAGGGAGCTGGGGCCGCTGCCGCCTCCCTGGGAAGCACGCAGCCCTGTTTACGTGAGCAGCGGAGCTTCTCCCAGGGACACAGCTGGCGACATTTGAGAAAGGGGCCGTGGGACCAGCTCGGCGAAAACACATTTGGGATGTTTTAAAACGTGGTGCCCGGCCTGACCACGGCCTGACCAGAGCCCACCGCAGCAGGAAGACACCGAGCGAGGCCGCCGCGTGCCCCAGGAGGCTAGTGCTGGGGTATTGGGAGGCCACACCCATGGCCCTGGGCATGGGGAGGGCCAACCTGGCCTGGGCTCTGGGAGGGGACAGGGCCAAGCCCCCAAATAGCCCCCAGCCAGGGCAGGTGGGCAGGCCGGGGCTGCTCACCTCGGTGCAGAGCACATGCTAGATCCGCTCAGCTCCCATTCTGAGCCCAGCTCCAATTGTGTCGACGTCTTCCTTTCCGAAGGAAGGAGAAAATCCCAAACAAGCAAAAATGTCCCCCATGGCGGGTTCATGGCAGGTGGGGATGCCACGTGCTGCCACCCGAGGGCCTGGACGTTCTATCACGGTGAGGCCTGATGCTTCTACCAGCTGGTCACGGCCACGGCGGGGGGGTGACTCACTGCCGCTCAAGTGCAGGCTCAGAAATTACTAGAAGGTTTGCACCAATGAGGACCGGATGTGGTAGCTTTCTGGTTGCATAGTGGGCTTCCTTCCTCCCCCACCCCGGTCCTCACAAGCTACTCCGTATCCCGGAGGGCAGCATCCACTCCTGACGCCTGCTCCTCCAGTCAGGGGTCAGGATTGGGACGGCAGGAGCCCGAGGGTCACAGAGCCACTAATGGGACAGCCCCGCCTGCGTGAGTGACCCTGCCCTGGTTTAGCATCGGCGGGACCACGGGGAGTGTGCCATGCACACGGTGGGGACAGGCGGACCTTCCTGAGCACGGCCCGGGCCATCAGTGGCAGGTGAGCCCCGAAGCCTCATCACTGCCGGGGTTCGGGCCCGGAGCCCTCAGTGCCCTCGGTAGATCCTGTCTCTGCCTCGGCTTTCCCAGCTTCAGAGAGGAGAACACCTACACCTGCAGGGTGCCGTGAAGCCCCGTCAGGGGGCCCAGGCCTCCTCCTCACCCTGCCCCTTGACGAGGACGTGTGGCCACGGTGGCCCGAACCTCCTGTGTCTGGACTCAGGGGCAGACACCAGCGGCCTTGGCGGCTGCCCTCCGGGAGAGCTTCACATTCTCTGCCCCAGAGAGGCTTTCCAGGCACGTGACACCCGGCACTGCATCCTGGTCAGTCCCTCGTGACCAGGCAAGTTCTCGGTGGCACTGGCACCTGCCCACCCTATGGCCACCAGTGTCCGTCGCGGATACGAGCTGAAGCACCGGCTCTTACGCGGGACTGGTGTCCCTAGGACAGAGAGCAGCGCCGGCCTGGGGTAGGTGCTCGATGATATTTACTGAGCGAGGGATGCAGGAGGAGGGAAGGAGCCCATCATTACTGCACGCCTACTGCATGCCAGCCGAGGACAGCCCCGGCACTCAGACCCCCATCTGATTGGCTCCCGGACCTTCGGTAGTTAACGGTGTGTCCACTGCCGTGAATATGGGTGAGGGGGCAGGGAAGGCCTGGAGCCACTCGTCCCAGGCCCACGAGCTGTGGACATGGGCTGGGAGCTCGGCCTGGGGCTGACCCTGCAACGCTCGCTACTGCCCTCCACCCACGTGGCTCCCAGAGGGCACGCCTCCAGACCCCAGGTGTGGGTCTGCGTGGGGAAGCCACTGCCCGCCAGTGGGCATTTCCCAGGCTGCAGTTACTGCCGATCATGTCTACGCTGCACAGGAAGACCTGGCT